GCAAACCTTTAGGCAAAAAGGAAAAGCCAGTTTTAAGAACGGACGGAAATAAGAGGAGAGACGTTTCAACGGCACTTACTAAATACCTTCACTTTTAAAATTTTAATGCAATGTTTTTTTTTTAAAAAAAAATCATGACCCGAAGACAAATAAGTAGGTCCTGGAGAAAACTTTGACATTGGAGAGGAGGAAGGACTCACACTGGAAGAACACTGAGAGACTCCACGTGGTGACTTAGACCCCAAAAGCTGGGGTCTGAGTTAGCACCCCAGAGGGAGCAGAAAGGAGACAGGGATGGGAGAGCATCGATTCCTGCAGTGTGGAGGATTGCCTCTGTCTGGAAGGTTCTGTCCTCCCCATCCTCCGCCAATCTATCTCACCACACCAGGCAAGTTTTGGCCCGGTCCTGTTGGCTCCTTTATTGGAATCTCCTTTGTCCAATGGATATGGCCCAATGTTAAAAATCTCTTGCTTTCTGGGCAAACAGAAGGTGAAGGCTGGGAGGGGGTCCCCCAACACACCCAGCAGGTTCCCCATGTCTCCTCACACCTTCAGTGATGGAGTGGGAGACAGTTTCATCTGTGGCTCTGTCTGCACCATCTTGAAGTCTTTGATCCAGCTCCTCAGTGACAAATGAGAGGCCGGAGGCAGTCTCTCTGTCCATAGCCAGACACCCCGCTTCCACCAGCAAATGGCCGGGTGTCTCACCAGTGCCAACCATGCTTCTTCTGGTAGGCCTCAGGCGGCAACTTCAGTTGGCTGTGGCCTGAGACTGCATCCACTGAAGTCCAGCTGGCAGCCTGCAGGGAGGAAGGGATGGCACAAAGGACCATCAGCATTTCCCAGAAGACCGTGGCTGGAAAGCTCCGATGGGACAGACTGAGAGGGTAGCCAAGGTCATGTTCAATCACTTAATGGTAGAAGGGAAGTGAACTGAATTCCAGAGCATAGCAGAACCATTGTGCTGGGGGCTGGGTTTCCTGGGGAGAAGTCCTACGAGGTTCACAGTCTAGCAGACGGGATGGACATTAAATGAATTCCCAAAAATAAGGAGTCAGAGGTCTATGGTAACTCTGAAGTTCCTCTGAGGCAGCTAGGAGACTCACCTTCCTAAGCCCCTGAGTAGTGTCTCTGGGCAAGACTTCTGTGTCCTGTTTTGTCACTAGGGGCAGTAGCAGGGTGACCTCAAAGGCTTGGGAAGAGCCAAGCTCCTCACGAGGTGAAAAACACCTTCAGAGCAGAAGTGGAAACTTGGCGGTGTCTGTCATCACCCAGCTTAGCCTGGCCCAAGGAACGGTACATGGGGGCCCAGGGAACAGTACCCAGCTTAGCCTGGCCCAGGGAACGGTACATGGGGGCCCAGGGAACAGTACGTAGGGGCTCAGGGAATGGCACGTGGGGGCCCAGGGAACGGCACGTGGGGGCCCAGGGAGTACTGTGAATTAGACTGCAGATTGGAGAAGATGAGAGTCCCTAATGAGGTGAGAAACATATTGCCAGAAATTTGTGGTCCCTTGGGTTCACTTATTTAAAGTTTTCTTTTTTTCAAAAAAGTATCTAGACAGGGGAGATAAAAGGAAATATCCAGGCCTCATGAAAGGCCCTTTTGGGGAACTCCAGTCCTTCACACTCTGAGGTATTTGATCAAGGGCGTGTGCACACAGTTTTCCCCACCTAGCCCCAATCTTTCTTTCCGCTCTCCACCTTCCTGGGTTTCACCTGGCTTCTTTGTTTTAATTTTTGTGGTGGGGACTTGGTACTTAGCCCGGTCTAGCCTTGCCCTCACTGGATAGCCGAGGATGACCTTGAACTTCTGATCCTCTTGCCTCTACTGCCCAAGTATTACAAGTACGCAATAAATAGTTCAGGGCTTCAGGCATGTGCAGCTACATCGCCAGCCCCAAGGCAGGAAGTTTTGTCTGGTTCGTTCACCAGCATTTTGTTTTTTCTTTTTTTCTAATTCCCAGAACAGCACTTGGCACAAAGGCATTCAGAAAAGCCTAATGAAGAAACCATGCCAGTCACTCCTGCAGAGCTGGGGAGAGGGAAGTATGACCCCCTCCTTTGACTAGTAAGAAACAGTCAGAGAGTCAGTGACTTCTGCCTTGAAGGCCGGTCCCCCGAAATCTTTCTACAGCTTCTCCCTCTTCACTGGGATCTCAGCTGTCTCTGACCACCAAGACAAAATCAGTTACCCAGGCCCTTCTGCCACTATATCCACTTCTCTGAAGAGTTTCTCAGTCCCTACCATCCCTGTTGTTTGGGGGGAGTCTTGGCGCTTACCATTAGAGCAAGCCCTTGGAGCACAGGGACTCTGGAGGCTTCCAGGGCCTTAGTTATGGGCCTGTGTCCAGCTTACTGGGCCTGGAGTCAACTGTGGGCCAGATCCTGACTGGAAGGACACAGGAGAGAGTTCCTGTAACCTGCTGCCCCTTGGCTGGGCCAGGCCAGGGAAAGGTGGGGAACTGACCCTTCTCCGGTGAGGGCACAGCAGCCCTGGATATGCCACGGGTGGTCCTTGATGGCACTGAGTGTGAGGGACTGGGAGATCTCCGCTGTGCTCATGGAGTCTTTCACATCCTGCTTGTTGGCAAAGATCAGGACTGAGGCATCTTGAAGTGCCTGTGAGCAGAAGAGCCCCACCCAGGTCAGCCAACCAGTCAGCCAGCCAGACTCAAGAGTCCTCTGGGAACCCTGCCCAACTGTCTTAGCAAGAGAGACCCATGGCCCAGTGAGACAGAGGTGGAGACCCACCCGGACATTAGCAACCCCAACCCCATCAGATGTTGCTGCAGCTCCTGGGATGTCTCCTGACTGTTTTCAGGGTGGTTACGAGAACCTCAGACATTGTTTTGTTATTGTTGTTGCTTACCAAACAGAATCTTACTCTGTAGCCCAGGCTGGCCTGGAGCTCTATGTGAAGCCCAGGCTGGCTTCAACCTCATAGCCATCAGCCTCAGCTGTCCAGGTTGCATGTAAGAGCCACCACCCCCATCTAATGGTCCTCCCTATTGGTAGAAGTGAGACAACTTATTAGAAACCAAGCCACCTGCTCCGGATTTCACAGGGAGTGAGTGGCGAGCTTAGTCTTTGAGCCAGCAACTCTGGCTTCTGGGCTCCGTCGTTCTGAGGGCACTGACCAGACCCTTTATCTAACCTGAGAGCACACAGCTAGCCTTACAGGTGGCTTCCCAGTTCAGGGGGATTACCTCATGGGCCAGCATCTTATACAGCTCCTCCCGGGTGGTCAGCAGCCGATTCCGGTCTGTACTGTCGATCACAAGGATGACAAACTGCCCAGCAGGAGCGAGATGTGAGCTGCAAGCTTTCTCTTAGGTGAACATGCTTCCTATCGACGGTTAGGCCTCTGCCCTATCCAAGTACCAGTCCCACAGGAAAGGAACTGTGTAGTCTGCCATTTGCACCAGGCTGGACCCATTTTAATCACTTTATATTTTGTTCTTTGGAGACAAGATCTTGGTATGCAACCCAAGGCAGTCTGGAACCTGTCTTTGTCCCCTCAGTGTTGGGATTCTAGGCATAGACCCCCCCCCCACACTCATTTTAGGATTTGAAAATCTTTCTCATATATATTGACTTTTCAAGACACAATTTCTCTGTATAGCTTTGGAGCCCATCCTGGAACTCGCTCTGTAGACCAGGCTGGCCTCGAACTCACAGAGATTTGCCTGCCCCTGCCTCCTGAGTGCTGGGATCAAAGGTACACGCCGCCAACGCCCTTCTCTCTTTTATATTTTTATTTATATATTTAAATTTTTATTTTTTAATGGTTTTGATCTTTAGGATTCAGAAATCTTTACAAATGCTATGCAGTTAAATATCTGACACATTGTTTATTGTACCCTTTCAGCCCAGTTCAAGTGGCCATTAGTCAATCACATCCCAGGTGGTAGAAGCTGGGTTCAGAGAGTATGGTAAGGGACTAGTGAGCTGATTAATGCAGTCACCTCTTGGACATCCCAGACCTGGTTTCCTCCTCACCTCTGTACTGGAGTAGTAAGTGTCCCAGGAGGAGCGCAGAACCTCCTGGCCCCCTAAGTCCCACATGAGGAAGCGGGTCTTCTGAAGAACAATTTCTTCCACGTTGCTCCCAATGGTGGAACATGTGTGAACCACCTCATTGGTCAAGCTAGAGAGCAAAAGAAGGTTCTGAGGTCTCGGCCCAGCTCTAGGCATTGCCCCTCTACTCCCAGAGCAACTGAGTTCAATTCAGAACAACTCAGCCCCAGGCAACCAAGCCCTCACCAGCCAAAGTCCTGTGACTGGTGTACGAAAAGATGTGAGTTGGTCCAAGTGTGGCCTGGCCTGTGACCCCAGAGAACAATCTTAGAGGCTTCTGATCTGTGGACCACACTGGAATTGTGGGAGTTGTGAAGAACCATGTAGATCCGAGTGAGGACCATCAGATACTTTATTGGTTTAAAGGCGAAAAAAAAATACAAAAAATTTTTTTGTGTTTGTTTTCATTTTGTTTTTCCCCCAGTTGTTTTTCTATTTTTTCTTTTCTTTCCTTTTCTTTTTTAACGGTCGTATCTCATTGTATGACCTCAAATATGAGATGCTCCTGTCTTAACCTCCAGAGGGCCGTGATTGTAGGCAAGGAGAACTATGTCTGGTTTACACGTGTTTTCTGAAAGCTTACCAAGAAGTTATAAGGAAGAAGTTTGGGAGTGAGGACTTCGTATTGTTTGAATTTTTCTTTTCTAATCTAACGGTGTCAGAATTCTAGGCAAGCACTCCCCTATGCACCATTGACCAACACCGCCAGACCTTTCTTTTTTAGACATTAATTAATTAATTAATTAATATACTACTTTCTCAGAGAAGCAAAAATCAGGAGAGATTCCATCCTGAGCAAAGGCCTGGGAAAGCGCGGGTGGGTGGTTGCGCAGCTTTTCCGATAGACCCTGAGCTGCAGAGCTTCGGGGGAGCTCACGGTCCGCCCAGGGATTTGAAGATGGGGACTCAGTTAACAATTAAGTGTAAGGTGCAAGGGTGAGAAGGAACCTACCGCCAGGGGGAGCCAAAAGCAGCGAGGAGAGAGACCTCTTGGCATTCCAAACCTGCCAGGACTGAGGTGCGTGTGATCGGGACTGATTGCGGGAGGCGGTGGAACTGGGGGTCGCCCACAGCTTTCAGGATTCAAATCCAGGCCTACAGCCACTAAGTCAGAAAGGTCACACCAGCGTCCTCCCATCATTCTTCTTGTCTGCCTCTGCCCAGGAACCCAGGGAAGGGCTCTGGTCATTGGTCCAAATGACTATCAGTCTGGTGTGAGGCCCAGCCAGCTCTGTTCACCCTGACGTTACTTACAACTGGTAGAGAATGGTGGTCTTTCCTGCATTGTCCAGTCCCACGATGATGACTTTGTGCTCTGGAGGCATCCAGGAGAAGGGCAAGGTCAGAGCTAACCCCGACAACAATGGGCTTGGGTGTCCCCAATAGGCTTCTTGTTCTCACCCTCCTCCCTGTCTGGGTGCCCTCTCCTCTCCCCGGCTCCACCCCTCTCCTGGCAATCTCCGAACCTAACCACTTTGATGTAGAACTCAGTATCTCAGTTTTCTGTGTCGTGTCGATCCGTCGTCTGTTCCCCGCCCCACACCCCATCCCTAGGGTGCGCTGGGAAATGCGTCCCTGACAGGATGGGGACCTTCCCCACCCCACCCCACCTTCTGCCTCATCTCTAGGATGCGCTGGGAAACGCGTCCTCCGCGGACTAGGGACTGTACCACTTCACTTGCCATCGGACCGGACCCCAGAATCTCTCCAGGAATGTGGAAGAGAGAGCTGACCCCATTCCATCTCCCTCCACATTTCTTGAAAGCGATTGTCTGAGGGTCCGAAGCACGGGGGCCTCTAAGTCACCATGGCAGGAAACTGACTTATCCAGGTTGCGCTCAGCACAGTTGGGTGGTGGGGTAGGGGCAAGAAGCTCTCCCACCTTCATGCACTGAGCACACTGAAGGGCAGGGACAGGAAGGGTGCGAGGGGGAGAGCGGAGAGGAGGTCATGGAGCATATATGGGAGTGCACACAACGAACTCTAGAACCCAAAGTTCCCAGTCCTTCTTCCCCGACGACCCCCAAATCCCAAGAGCCCCAGAAGACAGTGGAATCAAAGAGGTCACTGGGCTGTCCGGTGCGCCCCTTACCCTGGCTCCCAAAGATTCGCATCAGTTTGGCTATCAGCTGTCCCATGGCACTCCCGAAACTGGTGGTCTAGGGATGTGGGAGACTCAGTGGCCTCCCTGACTGGTTGTAGCCTCGAGCGTTCAAAGCCCCGCCTGGGGGAGGGCCGGACTTGCTGCTCCTATCAGCTGGGGAAAACCCCAAGCGTCATTCCCCCCCCCCACACACACACACACACTCCCCGCCGCCCGATCTGGGAATCCCTCGGGACGCTGGCACCTCACCGGTGCTAAGGAACTAAGGGACGTCATCGTGAAAACCAGGAACCTGACCAGGACCATGAAAGTGCAAGGAAATTCCCAGAGTCCTCTTCACTCTGAGAAAACTGAGGAGTGTGGAGCATTTGCTCCAGAACGGCAAGTAGAAGAGTTAGCAACGTGCAAAGCACACGCCTACTCTTTCCCCAACAGCCACCGCCGGGCAAAACCCTCCAAGGGCGGTGCAACTTTCTGACATTGCGACGTAGCGTCGTCATCTCCAAAGTTCCACACTGGAGAACTCTGCAACTGAGTTACAAAACAAACAAACAAACAAAAACCCTCGTAATTTTAAAAAGAATTTTTAACAGGGTTCCTCTGTGTGGCCCTGGCTATCCTGGAACTCGCTTTGTGCTTTGCAGACCAGACTAGACTCTGGTCTGAGAGTTCGAGTCCAGTCTCGAACAAAAAACCCAGTCTCGAACTCAGAGATCCATCTGCCTTTGCTTCCAGAGTGCTAGATTTAAAGACAGGTGCTACCAAACCTGGTTCCTTAAGATTTATTTTTTTATTTATGTGTGCGCGCGCGCCACATCTGTGAGTACCTGTGTATGTGTACCTTTGGAAGCCAGAAGAGGTACTCAGATCCCAACTTGGATACTCGGAACCCAACTCGGTTCTCTGGAAGAGCAGCATGTGCTTTTAATTGCTGCATCTCTCTAGCTCCTAATTATGTGTGTTATTAATTTTCCCCATTTTGTGTTAGGTGACATATCTATTCTTGGCTACATGAGTTGCATGCAGCCTACAGAACAGAGGTTGGACATGCCTAAAATCACGATAATGGTTGAAGAGACGATTCGGCGGTTAGGGCATTGCTGCTCTTCCAGGGCTCCAGCTGGTTCATTAGTAGGGAGTTTCCTGGGCCCAGGCAAAATGGGCTCCCCTAGGAAAGAACAGGGGTCTCTTCTTCTTGTGGGTACCCCTGGTCAGTTTCTGGAGAAATCAGTTGTTTCTGCGATCCATTGACAAACAAACTTCTCTGGCAGTTGACCAAGGTTGGAAGTCTAAAGACAAGATCATTCAGCCAGTGACCCTAAAGAGGGGAGGAGTCAGGGGTCATGCATAAATTGTAATTCCAGCACTGGGGAGGCTGAGGTGGGAGGAGCTGGAGTTAGAAAGCAGCATGAGCTCCTAGTGAGATTGTCTCAAAAAACATCAACCAACCTCTCTCAGCGGAGGAGAAACGGTGTTTTTATTTGTTGATCTTTTTCAGTTTGTTTTTTCAAAGGCCCTCAATATGTGATGTGTCACCTAGGCTGACTTCACACTCCTGGATTCCAGCAATCTTCCTGCCTCGACCTTTTAAGTGGCTGACCCACAGCCTCCAGCAGTGGGCAGACCCAACAGAGGGTGACACAGGTCACAAGGGAAACAGCAGGTCCAGCAGGAGGAGGGAGAAAAAAAATGTGTTGTTTGTGAACTTGGGGAAAACCCAGAAAACCCAAAGAGAAGTGGAAAAGGCAGGTTGACCTCATGCTGAGAAACTCAGATTCCCGGACTCAACAGTTTTTCTCTGGCCCAGAGAAAACTGGAGATTTTTGATAGTCGTCTCCCAGACTGTAAATCGAGGCAGACGCCAGGAGAGTGGCTCCAATCATCACCCCGACCAACACACCCTGGAAGTGGCCTCCTCCAGCCCCGTATGACTGGCTGCTCTCTACTAAGGCAGTCACCCTTCAGCTGTCCCTGCTGTGCTCGGACCCTCCTCCTCCTCATGCCCTGCCCACCTGTCTTAAGGACACACATGGTCACTGACGGCCATTCTATAAGCTTCCAATGACTCTCTGCTGCCCCCTAGGTTTAGAGCATCCTCCTGTGGCTTCCAAGGGTTTCCACAAGCAGCCCTGGCCTGTCTTTGCAGCCTGCCCCACCAGGTTCTGCATCTGCTGGTCCTCACTCAGATAGGCCCAGATCTTTTCCAGATCTTCCCAAACGTGCCTGGGCTTTGCTGTCTCTTCTCGAATGCTCTGAAAGGGAAGCGTTTGAAAGCCTTCAGTTGCACTGCTAGGTCGCCACCTACTTTCTGCCTCTGGCTTGGTTCTGCTGCTACATAGACCTCTCTGTCTTTCGGGTCTTTTGGAAGCCTGTTTCCTTTCATTATCTGTGAGTCCTGTGGAACCTGAATCCTGTTCACTGGCGTATGTCCCCCTCCTGGCCTTGTCCAATGTCTGGCATATGTTTAAGGAAGAGAAGTCATTGGGTTGCATTAGAATGAGATAAACTATAGCCTGGGGAATGCCAGTTAGAGTATTAAAAAGTAACACGGGCTGATGGTGATGGCTCACGCCTTTAATCCCAGCACTCAGGAGGTAGACGTAGACAGATCTCTGAGTTTGAGGTCAGCCTCGCCTACAGAGCGAGTTCCAGGACAGCCCAGACTTGTTACATAAAAAAGCCCTGTCTTGAAAAAAAAAAAGTAACATGGGCACCAGTGTAAGAGGCCTAAGGAAAGCTGGGACATTTGTAGTGAGCAAAGAAAAACAGAAGCTCTGGAAGCTGGGCCCTAACCTCCAGAGGCTCACCCAGGCATGTATAACAAACTTCATCCCTCTCTACTTGGTGACCAGGGTTAAAATGATACACAACTGACCACCACAGAGCACACAGTCCATCTGGGTTGATTCCATTTCAGCCCTAGGGAAGGAGCTGGTGTTGAGACTGTGAGACTTGATGGGGCACAGAGGGTATCTGGGGAATCGGCGATATTGTAAGCATTGCTGCCATCTGGTCCTAGGGGGAGAAAGGCGTCCTGCTCTGTCACCCAATTGCAGAGTTGAAAGTGACCTTCTGCAAGCACATTAAGAAAACAGGTAAGAAGAGCTGCCTTGGGGGCTGCAGAGATGGCTCCGTTTGGGGCCAAGCATGGCTTGCTGCTCTTCTAGAGGAACAGGGCTTGGTCCCTAGCATCCATGTAGGTCAAAGGGTCCGACATCCTCTTCTGGCCTCCACGGCATTTACAGACCCACCTCTCTGAGGCTTTATTTAGAAGGGAGCCTAAGTCGACTTCACCAAGAAATCTGTTACTTAGGATAAAGACTGGAACCATAGTCCCATCCTAGGTCAAAGCGGCCTCAGCTCAGCCCAGTTTGTTTCAGTAGAATCGTGACTGTTAGGGCAAATCTGGGATTCATGGCTTTCCCACTGCAGCTCACTGGGGCAGCATCTACCAGAGATGGAAGCAGCTGATCAGAGAAGCAGGGAGGGAAAGGTCCAGTTAGGAAGGGCCCCCTGCCTCTGCTTCTGAGTCCTGGAAGTGATGGTGGTAGCAACGCTGACTGACGTCATGGCTGTTACAGTCCTCACATGGTGACAACCACCAGCTTGCTGACTGAGCAGCCATACAGGGCTGTTGTTACCTAGAAACCAGGCTTTCTCCCCGTTTCTATTATCTATGCCAGCTAGAAATGGCCACCTCTAAGTTCTGAGCAAAAGGTACCCAAAGGACGACAGAGCATGTTGACACCTGCTTCCTCCTCCTCAACCCCCTGGACCCAACTCTCTCTAAAGCCTGGGCTTCCTGGAACAGAAGAATTAGTTGAACTTGGGGGTCACAGGCACCACAAAATTCAGTATTTGTGGAGGCTGGTGAAGTCACCATAGGTGACTCCCTATTTTCTCGCCAGCCACCTTCAACTTACTCCTTTCCAAGAGCTTCAGATCCTGTAAGGTTCCGCTAGCCATCAGTGCCTCCCACTGTGGCCTGGGTTAAACCTTCCTTTCAACCTGGAGTATCAGTACTGTCTTCAGGGAAGGCTATAGGCTCTGTACTGTCTGCAGGGAAGGTTGTGGGCTCCGTACCGTCTGCAGGGAAGGCTGTGGGCTCCGTACCGTCTGCAGGGAAGGCTATAGGCTATGTACCGTCTGCAGGGGAGGCTATAGGCTGCACACTGCACCCCTGTCTTGCCATTACTTAGCAGAACATAAGGCCTACTGTGACCTGCTCCTGCCAAGCCCCCTCTGGCCACCAGCTTTCACCACACTTTGTTAATCAGGTGCCACAGCATATCATGCTTGTCCCCTCTTCCTCTGCATTAGGAATTTCCTCTCACTTCTCTCTCTAAACTAAGCTAACCTGTTCCCAGATTTCAAACCTTCTCTGACCTCCCCAGCCAAGTAAATGGTACTCCCAGTACCAAATGCTCCCCACAGCAAGAAACTCAGGGTGCTATCTGTGGTTGTCATTTTGATTTGTGCCCGCCATGTAGGAGGTCTTTAATAATAACTGTTGGTTGCATAGCTAAACACAGGCGTGAACAATTAGAAAGGTAATGAGAAGGTGGGGGAGAGGAGAGAGCAAGGTTCTCAGCAACACTACTGCCAATTCCCCAAGAGATTCTGACATTGGCCTGCCCAGTTCCTGTCCCTGTGGTCTGCTGGAACATCAGGGGTCTGCTGTCATTCTGCACACTTAAGCACTCTGGGCAGAAGCACTTAGGTGGAGGACCCAGACATTCAAGTCCCCTAGGGCCATCACCTCAGAAACAAGACCCAGCAGGGTGGGGAAACTTGCAGGTGCTGTGTGAAGCAGGATATGGGTGACAGCCCACATCCTGCTGGCTGGCGATGGTGGAGGGGACCGCCACCTGCTTGTGTTCTCCTCACATCTCAGGGGGCTGGTCACTCCCACCTCTTCATAGAAGCAGACAGTCTCCTCAGCTCTGAAACTGGTTCTCAGGACCCACATGGTGGCACATGTGTAACCCTGTGATCACTGCACTCAGGAGGCTGAGGCAGGAGAATTGCTATGAGTCCCTCCTCAACTACTTGAGTTCCTGGTCAGTCAGGGTTACATAGCAAACTCTGTCACAAAATAAAT